GCTTGGCACTTCACATACCGGGGTACCCTCCTGCTCAACTCTGCCTTGACTTCAGCCTCTCGAATGGGAGACCACCATTCACTCTAGCCCGGGGGAAACCCAGTCACTCTCTTTTTCTCTGTAGTAACATCATCACTGTGATGGGGAAACTGAGTCTTTAAAGGGAAGGGAGACCCGCCCGACCCCATGTTCAGGGTAGACAGTGGGTCAAGGCAGACAGAAGACTGGCCCAGGGTTTCTCCTCCAACCTTCGACTTCAGGCCCTCGGCCCTTCGCCACCCTACTCTTCCAGAGCAGAGTGCTGCCCTTGACCTAGCAGTTTTGCATCCTGGCCCCTCCAAGTTTAATTGGCAGCGTTGGGGGGGGGGGGGGGGGGGAAGCTGGATCATTCTCCCAGAATAACTGTGGGAGGGGAGAATGCCACTGCGGGAGGGGCTATGGGACTGTGCAGGAGCATACTCTTCCTCTTTGGGCTGATTGCGGAGCCAATCAGCTGCTCCTGAACCTAAACTTGCCTTTGAAGGCATTGGGGCAGGCGTGTAGCCTGTGCAGCTGCTAGTTCAGCCTAGGCCCTGACTTTCAGCATGGCCTTCTTCCCCTGGCCCTCAGTTTCCCCTTGGCCTCCTCACTTTCCCTTTACCTCTGGGGTTCCTAAAGGCTGTCCAGGCTGTGAGGGTGAAGGCAGGGGCTGGGTGAGCAGTTGAAGCTCATGGACCCGTACCCTACTTTAAGTCTACCTGCTATTCCTACAAGTTAGGGTCTTTGTAGGTCCCCCCGGCCCCATCTAAGCAGTGGTGGAAAGCACAGATTCTGGTTCCTTGCAGCTCCTATCTTGTGTTTAGTCTCCTTGGCTCTGGTCGGCTCCCTGCCCATTCGTGGTGCTGTGCTGGCTATGTGGATACATCTTGGTGTCTGCGGGTATAGAGACAGGAGTGTGGTGAATCTTGGAGTCGAAGGTGGCTAGACTTCAAGGCAAGAAGGCCTTGTCCTGGGGTGTTCTGAGGTGGGTTAGGGTAGGAGAGAGAGGCTGGCCAGCCCTGTAGACCCTCTCATTTCTAATAAGAAGGAGCGCCTTTTTCCTGGAGAGCCCTTTGTAAACTGTGAAAAGCTATGTGCGAGTCGGGCTTGTTCTTGTTATTAGGCCTCGTCTGATTATTGCTTTTACAACACCCACTCTAATTGCAACGGTGAGATTTAGACAGCATTTCATGCATGGTGTCAACTTTAATTTTCCCATTAGCCCCATGAGGGGAGGAAGCCCTGCTTTAGAAGTGAACACACTACAGTCCAAGGGTGGATCCCCTGTCCAGGATCTTTAATTATCAGTTACAATAGAGCACAGACCCAGACCAGTGACACCCACCCCTACCCCCTTCAGAGAGTGGTTGATGACTGTCTAGTGAGGGACAGGGTGTGACCATGCAGAAGACAGAAGGTGACCCTGTCATACTGGGAGTCCCCAGGCCCTAGACAAGGCTAACTAGAATTTTCTTGTCACAATGAAGGCTGCCAGCACCGTTATCTGAGCTCTTAATGCTGGGGGAAAGTGCCTCACCACTTTGTGTAGTTTAACTGACATTTACGGGACTTGGGACTGGCCCTGGCCCCCAGAAGGGCAGAAGCAGACGCAGTACAGGGCTCCTCCTGTGTAGATGGCGCTGGAGGGAGCAGGTGCCCAGAGTAGGATCAAGCAGTTGCCATTTGGGGATCTGAAGGGTCTCATGGCCAGAGGTGGCCTTCATTCCATGCTGTTGATGTGGTTAGCCTCGTGGCCTGACTGGCAGCCAGATCGCACAAGTGGGGGCCTTAGTGTCTACCTCCTTCTCCCCAAAAGGCTTGTGTTGTCATTTCCAATTCATTTTGGCTTATTTGGTGACAACAGAGGGGCAGGACGGGACAGGACAGGACAGCTGGCTTCAGATCCGCTAATTATAGCCGCTCAAGTATTTGAACAGAGGTATTGAGTACCCCAGGACATGTTCTGATTCTTTTTTAAACACACTAACCCGTTAACCTTTAGTGCTGAGCATGGTCACACCCTGTCCACTGCCCATGTGCCCCTCTCCCCAGTGGGCAGAGGTCAACATGGGACTTGTGCCCCCTCACCTTGGCTGCAAACTTCCAAGTAGATCTCCTCTGGTCCTGCTGGAATCGAACCTTGATTCTTTCTGCAAAGCTATTGGATAAATGCATTTTCTTAGTTCCTGAAGCTCCATCAGTAGTGATCTCACAGTCCCCTGGGCTGTCTGACCCCACAAGCTCTCCTGTTCAGAGCTACCTTTTCCTTCTTGCTGCAGGGTACTTGCTTGAGTATTTACCGTGTGCCAGCCAGGCTTATGAGCAGTCAGCATACATGTCCAACCTCCTTCAAGTCTTAGGGTAACCTGTGCAGGCATAACTTTTTAAACTCCGCACTCTTTGGAAGAGAGCCATGAAGCCCAGGATCGTACCGCCACCTTGTGTGGGTCTCGCCGTCTTCTCTAGGCTGAAGCAAGCCTAGTTCATGGCATGCCTCAGCCAGAGACTCAGTCCGCCCAGGCCTCTGCTGGTACCAGTGTCTGGCCTTTAGCCTTGAGCTGAGCTCCAGAGCACCCAACAAGCCTCCTGCTCATAAGAGAACCCCCATTTGGCTCTCTGGCAATTGGATATAAAGTTGATATATATTTGGAACTCCAGTCTCCTCTTCTGTTGACCTTCCCTTCCAGGGACAATTGTATGTGGTATCATCCCATGGTGGTCTGCTCTTCCTTATGCTGGGTCCTAAGCACAGTACACTAGTTGACCCTGGTCAACAGTTGTTGCCCTTAGCCTCTGCTGCTCCAGGCACATAGTAGGGCTGCTGGTGGTAATGAGGACTGAGTTAAAGGCCTAGGGAGGCAGGGGACCCATGCATGGCTCTCACACCTCTTCACACCTGGTGAGTGGTTTCTTGTCTCTCCCTCCCAGATGGCCTGGAGGCAAGCTGACCACCTTCTCCCAGGAAGGGAGCAGACTGCCTGGGCCAGGATCAGATCAAAAGGTCTGTAAAATGATCCTCTTTCTTTCTCATAATGTGTTAATCTAGATAATTTGCAAATTTGTAGATTTCTCAGAATGGAACTAACTGGAGGCTCCCCCCCACACTTATTTTGCAGCTGGGGCTCACCGCCTTTGGGCGGTGGGCCAGTGATTTCTGAGGCAGTCCTGGTCCCATGCAGGGGTTGCCTGCCCTATATGACTCTGGAGACTCAACGTAGAACCAGCAACCTGCCAGGTATGTGTGTGCTATGTGCTTCTCTCTGATTTGGGGAAGGGGATCACTGTATGTACCCATCCAGAAAAAAAGTTGCGTTTGTGAAACTCTTAACAGGTACCTCAAGGTACTTGAAAATACAGAGCCCAGTCTGTAAACAACAGGACTGAAGAGCGGTGCCTTAAGTGTGGTAAAGGTAATTAAGGGTTCAACATGCAGGCACAGGACTAGTTAACCCATCTCATGTCATTTCTGCCTAAAGTCATGGTTGAACATAAGTCTGCCCAGAAGACTGGAGAGACATTCTCTAAGTACCTGGTCTGCATTAACTCCAAGGAGACAGTTAACCAGGCAGTTAATCTAAAAGTGTCCTGTGAGGAAGACAGGACAACGTATGCAAGACATTAGTCTGCTGCACTGAGAGTGTGCTCCGGGGGTCTCTGAGCCTTGAGCCTTTCTCTGAAGATGGTGTGTAATCATCCCATCTTTGTCAGACACTCAGCCCCGTGAGTGCTGTGAGATGCTGATAGCCTCTGACAGCTGCAGACCCAAGGCTTGTGTGCAAGAAAGACTCAGGGTGCCTTGGAGACAAAGGGGCTTCTGATGAATTTGGGGTACCGTACCCTACCCTGGACAGGTTAGCGATGTTGACACCAGGTCCCTCTGGGTTAGAATCCAAGGGTACAAGGTCACTGTGTGCTGCACGGGTCAGGGCACGCAGCAAGGCCCCGGCTCTTAGCCAGCAAGCTGGCCCCTCTGTTGATGTATACGGGCTGCTGTGTTGGCAGTTTTCTAGAGGCTGGTGTCCCCTTCGCCAGCATCTATCTCAAGTCACATTCTCCCGGAGTTCTCATTCCATTTGGCTAATCCTGGAGAACATGGGCCAGGGCGTTAGCTTTCCGGGCCTCTTAAAGACCGAAAAGGAAAGCACACCCCCCCATGGGTGCATTGCAGTCGCTGAGGGGTGGGGGCTGCGGCAGTGAGATTGCAGCCTCAGGCTTCTCACACCTGCCAGCTGCATGTCAATGACAGCCTGCTCCCCCCTCCAACATTAGAGTATATAAAATTACAGAAAAAAAAAGAAAAAAGATAAACCACGAATCCCCACTGTCCACAGAACTTGCTTTGGGCACATGTAGATGCCTCCTAATTTGTCTGCCAAAATGCTTGTAGTATCCATAAAATAATGACAACAAACCCCCCTCCAAAAACAAATAAATAAACCCACACAAAAATTTTTATTGGAAAAGCATTGCTAATTAATATAGTGATTATTAAAAATCAAAATGCATAGAAAGCTTAACCCCTCCCTCAGTCCCAGCTCCCCCTCAGATTAGCTGCCGAGGTCCTTTCCTGCATCCATCCCTGTGTTTTTCTGTATATTTGCATGTCTATAAACACAACTCCAAGGCATATGACTTCCTCCCTTTTGTACATAAGCTATATTGGACGTGCATTTTTCCTTTTGCATTTTGTATCAGCTTGATTTTCTCTCCAGAATCCGCGTGGCGTTAATAAAGAACCACAGCATTCCTTGTTAATACCCAGCATCTCAGAGTGCTGAACCGCATACGCACCGGAGTTGATTTAACCATCTCACTGCCACCCTAAGAGCCTGGGGCTCTTCACCCTGCTGAAGGCGGGCTGGAGGCAGGTGTAAGTAATTGCCAAATGATCTGGATTCGGGGAGTGCGCTCACGAGTATTTATGACATTATTACAAATGGATACATGAACGCATACATTAGCAGAATTAAAGGGGACATGCCTGGACCAATGATGAGAGAGTATTTATGAACAAAGGATCGTGATTAATTTGGTTCTAAGTAAAATACAGAGGTCCATTAAAAGACAATAGGTCTCTCTGTTTCCTTCTTTTTAAGAGCTGTTTAATATTCCAAGATATGTATGCAACTGTTGTGTCTTAACAGCAGTGTTTGCTCTATTGTTGAAAAGCCCAGCTGTATGTACTCTGGGGGTAGACAATGTGTGCAGACAGAGGCTCCATCAAAATCCTTCTTGTCAGGGCAGGTCATGGGTTCCTGGACATTCATTATATTATTAAAAAAAATGAATGCATAAATAAATAAAAGTGGTCTCAAAGATCAGCGAGGAACATGTGTCACACATCCACATTTTAATTAATATGGTCCGGCCCAACTGACGATCAATTAAAAAAGACCTAAGCTGTTTTCATCTTGTGCTATTGCTAACAGCGCTGCTGAGAATATTCTGGTAGCTAAGCTTGTGAGCACATCCCTGACTGTGTTTACCCTCAGCATCTTAGCAGTGGGATGGTTGGTTAAATGATTTGCACAAATTTATTGTGATTGTGCGATCTTTCTGAAATGCCGTTTTGACCTTGTTACTTTCTTGCCTTCAATTCTCTGGCTTCCCAGGGCTTCCAGGATATAGTCCAGGAGAAAATAAAAAAGGAAAGGAAAAGCTTTAGCTTGGTACAGAAGACCCTTGAGTGCCTGACTTAATACTTGTGCCCATTTCGTGCCCCCACCAATGTTCCTGCTGGACACGTGTGCTTCCAGTCCTTGCCCACTTCGTGCCCCACCCATGTTCCTGCTGGACATGTGTGCTTCTGATCCTTTTGGCCAGCTCAGCCTTGGTTTAATGAACGGGTTTGAAATACCCCTGGTGGCAAACCCACAGTTAAGTGGGTGCCCACCTGTGTTCAAAAGTCCCCCAGATCACTGGAATTGTGTGCCTCATAGATAGGACTTCCTAGTCTAAGGGAATTTTTCTTTCTAGAATTAACAAAACTAATCAAATGCTAAACATCCCTTTCTTTTGTCCCTTCCAGAAGTTCCTTCCTGTTTCCTGGGACTGACTTCTAACTGACACCCCTCTGGGTATAGCGCTGTTGTCGTCCTGTCTTCTGCTGTGAGGTGCCGGTGAGTCTGCAGATTCCTGCAATACTGCACACATACACGGACACTCAGGGCAGGGACCCCAGTGATGAGTTTCAGGGTGCAACTGCAGCCTGCTGACATTGCCTCTCTTTGCAGCTTGGTCTTTGCTGTCTGGTCTCCAGAAACCAGGGAAAAAAGGGCAGGTTGTGGTTGGAGGGGTGATGAGGGCTCTGGAAATAGAATGGTGCAGAGCTGAGGGTGGACTTATCTATCCTTGAGTCAGCCTTGCCGTGGGGGCAGAGGACTTGGGCTCTGTGTCAGGGGTCTCTGCTTTCTTTCCTGGGGGACGGGTAGAGATGTCACAAATAGCTATCTAGGCTCAAACCCAGCTATAGAACAGCCCGAAGCTGTGTGTCCTCAGCTAGCCTACAAGTGTCTCTGTGCTTTGATCTGTCTTGCCTTTACTCCCTTTGCTTCTTTCTCCTTCCTTTCACCCACAATCTCTCTCATACAGAACCATTGGGCTCTCAGTGAGAAAAAATAACTCACAGATTTCATTTACTGCAACAGCCTGTGCCGAAAACCCAGCAAAGTCCCAAGCTCACCCAGCCCCACCAGGCCGAGTGCCCCTGCGCCGTCCCTCCCCAGCGCAGCAGCGCCTTTTCAGAGAAAGAGCGACAGAGGCAAACAAAAAGCCCCAGAGACTGCAGAAAGCCTCCTGGGTCCCGTGCATAAGCCCCCCACCCTTACAGACCCTCCCAAGGGAACAGGTGTGCCTTTTCTCAAACACCTGGGCCCACCCTGGCTGCCCCACCCTCTTTAACTGGGTTCTGCTGGGGTTTGATGAAAGCATCTTTTATTTTCATGTAAACATGTATGATAAGATGTCAGACTGCTCTCAGACCACTTTTGGAGAGCCCTATTTTAAAGCATTTCACAGGAGTGACCGACTAGGTAGGAACAGCGGTGTGTGTGTGGGGGGTCTCCAGAGGTCCCTCATAAAGCTTGGCTTCTCAGGGGCACAGAGAACCCCAGCTGTGCCTCAGTGGACTTCTGTGTGTTGGGTGTTGTTTTCAGGGCAAGTGTGACTTGCCCTGTTGCCCGTGCACAGAAGCGACCCTTCTTGGCTGCCTGCACAAAGGCGCCTCTCTCCTCAATATTTGGTTTCTTTACTGGTCAGGCAGACACCTCCCCTGGGATGTGGCCCCTGCTTTCCACAGAAACCCATTTTCTAACTCGCTCAGGGTTATGCTTCATCCCTTGAGCAACAGGACTTATCAGCGGGTGGTAGATGGGAGTGTGCCCTCCCTGCCCAGCGGCCACTAAGGGGCTTGTTGCCTGTGACCCCAGAGCCTGGTTAGGACTTTGAGTGACTTTTGAAATTTACAGTGAAACACTTCAGACCCCTGCCAGGGTCTTCAGTCACCTCTAACCAGAAATGTTTATTCATAAACATGTGTGTGGGTGCCTTCGTGATCTGCATCCTGCAGGCCCCCTCCCCATGTAATGCTGCAGAGGCGGTGACACCGTGTGAATGCCATGTTGCCCAATGTTCCACATCAAGAGCTCCAATCTAATCCTTTAATAGATTCAAACAACAGCATGAGCGACAAAATAACCAAAAGCCTCTGAGAGCAAGCCACTTTTCTAGGGCTTGTTCACTTAACCCAAAGCGGCCAGGCAGTCTGTCTGTCCTCTGGCTCTCTCACCTGCAACACGATGCTGCCCCCGCTTGGCGGGTCGGTGCAGCCGAGCGACCCCGAGGCCCACAGATTAGGATGTCAGGAGCAGGACAGTCAGGCAACAGAGACCAGGGGCTCTTTGCTTAAATAATTCAGCCCATTTTGAATCTTTCTCCGTTCCTCTTTTTGCCCCATGGAGGTGTGCCCTGCCCAAGGATTAGACAGGCTAATTTGGTTATTTTATAGATGAAGGAACTCTGCCCATCCTCACAACTGGCCTGTGAATGCACGCATGTACACATATATGCCTGCCACCCCCTTCACACACACTAAAGGCAAGAAACTCCATTAAAAGCTGCAGAACACAGATGTACCTAGCCAAGGTGCTCTGATAAAGACCCCAACCTCCCATATCCCCGAGGAACTGAACCCCCATGGGCTGTATTCATCAATATAGAGGCTCCCACTGCTGGGTTAGGGGACTTTCAGAAGTCTCCAGAACATCCAGGTCATGGTGCAGGAGCTATTTGAGTCTGTGGCTAGGGTCCAGCCTCCAGAAAAGTGGTTTATTATGCCCATGACCAGCTGGCACCTCAACCAGCCAGACCCCCTCTGTCTACACCCTCTACCCAACTTTGCCAGCCTGTTGCCCTAAGAAGGACTTAGGATAGCATTTCTGGGTTTGCAATTACCCAGGGTAGACCCCTGGCCACTCCAAGTGGCCCTCCCTTAGCAGGAGTTGGCTGTGGGGCAGCCCCCGCCACCCCCCACTTTCCCCAAGCACTCACCCCCATTCTCAGCGCCTCTCCCTCAGTGCCTCAGTGATAATGTTGTTCCGCCAACCATCAGCGTGCCTTTGCCACTTAACCCCTGGCAGGGTCACGCCAAAGGCCGCGCATCCTTGCCCCGACCCCAGGCTACCCCTCTGAGACCAGCCCTACTTATTTGCCCAGGACTCGGCACAGTGGAAGCTTCTCAAAGACCTGTGTATGGGCTGCCAGCCAGCCAGAGAGCCATGCTGCAGCCTCACGTACCGGCCTGCCTCTCTGCTCAGATGCCTCCAGTAATAGGGAGCTCTCTCTCCCCAGCAGCCTATTTGGGGGCTCGCATACTGAGCTGCTGTGCTCAGCCCTCCCCTGTCTTCCGCATCAGCTTCTGTGCAGCAGCTTGCTCGCACCTCGGCCCTCAGGTCTTTACGGGAGGCAAGCTCACTTCCTTCCCGGTCCTCTGTGTGCTGTGTGGAATAGCAAAGCCCCACCTACCATAAGAACAAGTTTGGGGGCTTTGCACCTTTCTGGGGTGCTTCTTCCTGGAGCCTTTGCCCCCGGGACAGAGCCCTTTGCTCTGCTGTTCTTCCAGCAGCCCAGGGGAGGGCGCGGTGTTCCCCTGGGCGTGTGGGGGGAGCTACTCCCTATCTGTTAAGCAGCTCTGAGTCCTCTCTCTCTCTCTCTCTCTCTCTCTCTCTCTCTCTCTCTCTCTCGGCCCCTTTGCCAGTTGCTAGGGAGAAGCCTCTTTATGCAAAGCCCCCTGCTTTTTTTCTGAGGGAGCTGCTGGCTGCCTGGCTGGCCCTCTTGCCCTCCAGCAGCAGCAGCAGGAGCAGCTGCGGCAGGGCTGGGGGGCTCTTGAGCTACACAGATAGGCTTGACTCCTGCTTTCTAGCTCAGAGACTAAGCAATCCCCTTTAGTTTTCAGAGTCTGGGTTTTTCCCTATGACTCGAAGATGAGAGTTTTTCTCTCACCGGCTTGAAGTAAGGACCCAATGAGATAGAACAGCTTTAGCTTAACATCCATCAGACACTTCTTAAATGCTTGTGGAGTGGACAGTGGGACCCAGGAGGAGGGTGACATGTAACAAGTGTCATAAGAGAGAAAACAGTCTGGCCTTTTAAGACCCTGCGCCACACACAGGCTGTAACGTCTCCTGGCTGAGGCCCCTCTGCCGGCTTAATCACACAAATCAAGACAGCCGGAGGCATCCCCTGGCCTGGGAAACTCACAGTAGATGCAGCAGGCGGCAGAAATGCCAGGCAGAGCCTACATCTGCATTTAATAGGCCGAGCACTTGCATGGTGTATGACAGTACAGGGATGAAGCAGGAAGACAAAGAGGGACATTTTTTCCCCTGTCACTTCATTGAAGGGCCCACTTAGGGAGGGGTCTGGGAAAGGAAGACAGCAGGCTCCTGGGCACCTCCTAGACTATGGGGAACAGCTGACGCTCTCCTCATTCATACGCCCCAAGATGCTGACGCCGCAGCACACTTACCTGCTGGGTCTCGAGAGCGAGGCTAGGGACGAAGT